AACAGAGCTCTTGTGCACTTGGATGGCGATAGCTGTATGTGTACTCACTACCACCTTTTGTACTTTGTGTTATGTGCTCAGGGTGAGTTTTATGTCAAGTGTATTTTACCACAATAAAAAACAACAAAGCATTCAGCCATCTGCTTGCCTTACTTGTATGTGGGGATAGGAAGAGAAAAGGCCCATCATGGCGCCCAGAACTTCTTGTCAGATGCAAGTAGGCCTTTAGTATTGTATCAGTTCCTATATGATCCAGATATGGAGCAAAAAGGAAAGGCTAGGCAACAGTGGGGTTTCAGGCTCCTTGCTTGTACTCTCCTGAAAAGCAATAGGCCTAGCCTCTTCAGGCTCCATTATGTCGGTGGGCCATCATGCCCCTCACTTCAACAAACACTCTGGAAGCTTCTCTTCTTTTTTAGGGAAATAATGCCTGGACTCCACACACACTAAAGGAAAAGAAAGATTCCCAAAAGTGAGTGCCATTTTAGCTCTGCCTGAAAAGGCAATGGTCAGACCAGGGACCTTAACTGTCCTACTTAGCCATCCAGAGTCCTAAAGCTCCCAGAGCTAGTGCTACTATCCACCTCCTGAGGGGACACTGTGACCATCAGGCATTTCACTCGTTGCTTCACAGCCCAGCCAAGGGCTAGGGGATGTCTTTTCTTCACTATTTCTTAAGTGTTTTCTGGATATCATTATTTCCCCTTTTTGTGAGAGAAATTCAAATTTATCACATTCCCAACAACACTTCTGGGACTACCCTACTTTCTAGTTCACCACAGCTGGGAAGCGCTAATTCCACATATCTTGTTATGCCTGGTCCACTGAACCCCACTTAGACAATATGAAAAGAAATCAAGAATTATCAAGACCCCAATCACAGTGGAAACCTGAAGTCTGGCTGGTAAAAAGCATTTAAAAGAAAAACGGTGGTGGTGGTGGTGGTGGTGGTGGTGGTGGTGGTGGTGCACGACTTTAATCCCAGCACTCAGGAGGCAGAGGCAGAGGCAGGTGGATCTCTTTGAGTTTGAAGACAGCCCAGTCTACAAGAGCTAGCTCCAGGACAGGCTCCAAAGCAACTCTGTCTCGAAAAACAAGAAAGAAAAGAGAGATAGAGATAGAGATAGAGATAGAGATAGAGATAGAGATAGAGATAGAGAGAGAGAGAGAGAGAGAGAGAGAGAGAGAGAGAGAGGAGGAAGGGAGGGAGGATAATGTATAACAGAAAAATGACAACTTGAAACAGATTGTGACTAAGTGTTAAGGGAGGAAGTCAGCCATAAAATGCTACAACTTACTGGTGCAGTCAATCTGCTGGGAAGGGCAGGCTACCAGTGAGGGCTGCCATTTAGCCAGCATAACAAGAGGACCAGAGGCAGTCACAGACTGCTGAAAGATGCTATTTTTAGATGCAAGCACCCAGATGGGGGTACTTCATAAGTACCAGGATCCAAGAATGCCATAGGAAATATGGACGTGCTGGGCGGTGGTGGCGCACGCCTTTAATCCCAGCACTCGGGAGGCACAGGCAGGCGGATCTCTGTGAGTTCAAGGCCAGCCTGGTCTACAAGAGCTAGTTCCGGGATAGGCACCAAAGCTACAGAGAAACCCTGTCTTGGGGAGGGGGGGAAATATGGATGTGTTCCCTGAGTGAGTTGCACACACAAGCAGGAGAGGTACAGAGGGTCCCACAGAAACCTCTCAAAATGAAGAAAGGCTGTAAGATAACCCTAGTCTGTCATCTATTATCCCAATCCAGGAAATGGGTAAGTTCTGTGTCCTGTGTTAATAATTAATAACAAATCAAACATTTTAAGTTTAAAAAAGTGTAAATAAGTCACCGGCCAAATAATTCAGACTTTCTTAGTCTGGTCATTACAGAAACTTTAAGCTGATTCTCCTTTTTGTGGGCGATGTCTTATGCATCCTTGGCCTCCCACTGGTATATACCAATAGCATCACTACTCTGGTTGTTTCAACCAAACCACACAACTGCCATAGCCTTGAGGAACACTAACCCCACTGAAGACCATGGCTCTAAAAGGCAATCAGAAAGAACATAGTAAAAGTTCTCATGAGAGCAAACACAGGCATCTGTCTATTCTCAGGTCTCATCCAAATGGGCAGAGGGTGGTAGAGGACAACATGTTTTCTTGCCCCAGGGAATGGTTACAAATGGTAAACAACCCTGACATGTTGCAGACCAGAGGGCATGGGTAAGTTCCCCTCACCCTCAGTCCTAGCAAGAGGAACCCTCATGCTACTTCCTTCCTGACTTCTATTGAAATGGCCTCTTCCTTCTTGGCCCCTATCCTGACTAACTCCTGTTGCCTGGTCTTCACTGTGGTGGCCTCCTTTGTAGCTTTTATGTGAGCTTCCTGATGCAACATGGAAAAGTCTTACAAAGTGATACTTTAGAAGACATTTCAACATGACTGCCACTGCTGGTTCTGCCACTTCACTCTCAGAAGTACTAGGCCATGTGCACTACCCTGGTCTGGGAAGAAAAACATCAACTGGCTACATGATTTGTCTTTCCAGATACAAGGACATGTAAAAATGGCCCATGCACAAACACTTTTGGAACTGGATGCCCCCCCCGCCCCGAAATGTCCTTTCTTCAAGTTTTTCCTCCTTTTCTTTCTCACAGTCCTGACACAGAGTCACCTCTGCCTTAACCCATACCCTGTACGCTGGCTATTTTATTTTAGTTTTCCAATTTGACATAAGTTCAGAGTCATCTGAGAAGAGGGAACCATAATTAAAAAAAAAAAAAGCATCCATGTGACTGTCTGGTAGGCAAGTTGGTGGGGCATTTTCTTGATTAATATGAAAGGGCCCAGTCCACTATGGGCAGTGGCACTTTGGGCAGGTGGTCCTGTGTTGTACAAAAGTACAAACTGAGATCAAGTCCGTAAGCAGTGTTCCTCACTGATCACTGCTTCCTTTCCTGTCTCCAGGTTCCTGCCCTGCTTAAGTTCTTTGTTTGGCTTCCCTCAATGATGGACTATGATCAGGACCTGTAGCCAAATAAACCCTTTCTTTCCCAAGTTGTTTTTAATCATGGTCTTCATTGCAGTAATAGAGATCAGGTTTCTGGGAGATGCTATGGACCAAAAAGTGTCAGCACACCTGGCTCAATGGTCTTATTAAGAAGCACTGTTAAGGACAGCAGCAAGCAGCCACTCTCTTTGTGCTGATGTGACTGAATCAATGGAATAATGAATTCTTCTAGGTTTCAGTGGGGCCTACATAAAGAATCCCTGTGCTGACTGTCAGACGCTCATGGTCTGAACCCAACACATAATCAAATGACCTCTAGAGGTTCCAACACTCTTCACTAGTTACAGAACTTAAGACCGGGGCTTATGGGAGACCTAACTCCTATCCCAGAGCTGCTGCCCACTGACAGCTAAGACAGGAGGACAGCAAGAGAGGAGTAGAGTCTGCCGTCCGTACCTCCTGAACTCGGAGAACATCATGCATGTCTACCTGTTCCTGTTTCTAACTGGGTCACTGTCAGTGCCCACTTCAAATTACTCTGGCTCACAGATGGCTCTTGAGCAAAACCCCCCGTGCTTCACTCTCAGGTTCATCAAAAGGAACAATGGGGAAAAAATCTTAAGCAATCAATGAGGTGACAGTTGGGGGGGGGGGGCTAGAGGTACAATATCATGCCCATTAATGATCTCAGAATAAAAGGAGTGAGATGCCACATTAAAAAGCATAGGTGGAAAGGGGCCTGCTTGGCACATGTGAATGCTAATGATCATTTCCCAGATTCTAGTGTCCTAACCCTCTGCAAAGTCCCTGCAGACAGTTAACTCACACTATAGGGTCTCACAGCATCAGAGTCAAGAAACCTGCTCTGGGCCGGGCGGTGGTGGTGCACGCCTTTAATTCCAGCACTTGTGAGGCAGAGGCAGGAGGATCTCTGCAAGTTCAAAGTGAGCCTGGTCTACAAGAACTAGTTCCCAAACAGGCTCCAAAAGCTACAGAGAAACCAAGAGAAGAGGAGGGGAGGGGAGGGGAGGGGAGGGGAGGGTAGGAGGAGGAGAGGAGAGGAGAGGAGAGGAGAGGAGAGGAGAGGAGAGGAGAGGAGAGGAGAGGAGAGGAGAGGAGAGGAGAGGAGAGGAGAGGAGAGGAGAGGAGAGGAGAGGAGAGGAGAGGAGAGGAGAGGAGAGGAGAGGAGAGGAGAGGAGAGGAGAGGAGAGGAGAGGAGAGAAACCTGCTCTGGGTGCAGCAAGTGGACCAATCTATTTGAAACAGCATGACTAGACTTTCCTGGGGGGTCCCAGTCTTCACAGGCACCACAGTGCATACCTGCACACACTTGTCTACTCAAAAGACAGAGGAGGAGGCAACCAATGCTTCATTTAGGAGAGAGAAATTTCCTTTAAGAAAAGGGGGGTGACATGGGTAGAAATAGAGGCAGGCATTCTGTTCTACTTGACTGGACTGGGGGTTTGGCCTTGGAACAAGAGCAGCAAGCACTTACCCCACCCATGATGCAGGCAGAAAACCAGGTAGTGAAGGAGAAGAAAGAAGGTCTTCTGCTCTGATCACAGGACTGGCAGACCTCAGTGCCAGCTAAAAAGAAATCTATACCAACATCTAGTGGGACAGTCCTAGGAAGACAGAACATAAGCCTGCCTGTCTCCACTCAGGCCTGTAGGAACACCATCTCTGCAAACCCTGCTGATCTCCAGGACTTTCCCCAACCTTGAACAAAAGTTACTTCATTCTTCACTGTTTCCTCTCACCAACAACTGCTTAAAAAAAAAAAAAAAAAAAAAAAACCAACAACAAGCAAGCCTGAAGCACAAGATCTGGGTTTTAAGAGTATTTTCTACTTCGTACTACAAGTCCTTTAAAACATCCAAGACTCCTAAACAGAAGCCTGAGTAGGGCTGCATTCACATATGATGTGGCCAGCAGTGCCACAGCTGAGGAGCCTGAGGAGAGCATGGCCAGGATCAGGGAATACTGAGGACACTTACCATCTCATCCAGGGCGTAGCGCAGAAGGCCATGCTCATACAGGATGAAGAATCGTCGCTGCCATTTCTGCAACAGAACACAGAGCTGAGGGTCAGGTCTCCTGGCCCTGGGTCTCAGCTGGCAGAACCCTAATATCTGACACACAGAATCTAAGGAATGCTGGTTCTAAGGCTTTCACTTCTGGAGTAGATGGCAGGAGGAATGAAACCAGATTGTATATGTATAGTGATTCATTAGCCAGGTGGGGTCAGGAGACAGGCCTGCCTAATCACAAGTGACTAATGCTTCCAGATGCTCCATGAAGCTTTTAAAGTTGGAGCTTTCCTTGGAAGTTAGAAACCGTTATATGGTCACTTTTCTATGTTCCTACTGGCAATCAATAGAGCATTTTCATAGAATGTTTGTCAATTGACTGGATGAATAATCTAATGTGATCTGGAATAACGTGATGATGCAGGGATGGTGACAGACAGCATCCCTTCCAAGAAAGTCTGGGAAATGGTATAAAATGGTTTGGTTTTGTGACTGTCAGGGAAAGAAAGCAGACAGCCAAGAATGAGGAATTCAACAGTAGTGGAACAAGCTAACAAAAATCAAACAGACCCCAGCAGCACAGACACTAAGGGCCTCATTGAATAAATGGGACCTCCTGAGACTGAGAAGCTTCTGTAAAGCAAAGGACACTGTCGCTAAGGCAGAAAGGCAACCCACTGACTGGGAGAAAATCTTCACCAATCCCGCAACTGACAAAGGTCTGATCTCCAAAATATATAAAGAACTCAAGAAACTAGACTGTAAAAGGCTAATCAACCCAATTATAAAATGGGGCACTGAGCTGAACAGAGATCTCTCAACAGAAGAA